GCACACTGCTGGCTCATATTTAGGTGATTGTCCACTAGGACTCCGAGGTCCCTCTCACAGTTACTACTATTGAGCAAGGTGCCACCTATGCTATACTTGTGCATTTGGTTTTTCTTGCCTAAATGTAGAACCTTGCTTTTTTCACCATTGAATTTCATTTTGTTAGATAGCGCCCAGTGTTCAAGTCTGTCCAGATCCTCCTGTATCCTAAACCTGTCTTCTGGAGTGTTGGCTATTCCTGCCAGCTTGGTGTCGTCTGCAAATTTGATGAGTTCCCCATCTATCCCCTCGTCCAAATTGTTGATATTGGGCGGATAATCTGAAGGACCTTCTCTCTTAAGGCTTTTCAAGACAAGCTTGAAACCAAATGATACCCCAGTTTACCACTTCTCTTGCCCCAGTTTACCACTTCTCTTGCCACAGTTGTTAAGTGCATCACTGCAGTTGATAGGTTTAACCTGATTGTTAAGTCAATCTGGTTTCCCCATTGAGTTTGCTTGGTTAGAAGGTTGCCAAAAGGTGTTCACGTGGCAAAGGTCGTAAATATGAATCCTTGCCGAGCATTTGAATTTTGATCGCACGATCGTGGGGATGCTGCAAAGTGGTAACCAAGAAAAACAATCATAAGTCACATTTTTCAGTGCTGTTGTAATGTTGAACAGTCACTAAATGAACTGTTGTAATTTGAGGATTGTCAAGACTTCATCAGCAAATTCTGTGTCACAGCATCTCTATAGCCTAGGACAGTGATGGCGAACCTTTTAGAGACCGAGTGCCCAAACCGCAACCCAAAACCCACTTATTTATCGCAAAGTGCCAGGACCGCATCAGCATTGTGGTGCCCTGGGGGGGGCAGGGAGGCACCTCTGAGCGCCATCTCTGATACGCAAAAACTGGTGGCAAAAAAATGAGCCACCGCGCTGCAAGGCGCAAAAACAGCTGCTGCCATGCCACGGGGTGCAGATACATGGCGCTGCACCACGCAAGAATGGGGCAGGGCTAGTGGGTATCACGCAGGCACTATTCCCGCCCTATTTGCAGCACGTGCGTGCTCGTGGCCCCATGTGCACATGCACGCATGTAAAATGCTTCCCCCTCCCTTTTCTTCCAATCCACCAATCGACAGTGGTTGGTGACCTCTGCTCTACCACCTTTATTTGAGCTTGCTACTCGGCCACTTCGCCTCCTTTATGCTGGGTGGGGCTCCTGCTCTGGGCGGCGGGGGCGGCCTGATGGGTCTGCTGCTGGCAGTGGTGGTGCGCATGCCAACAGAGAGGGCTCTGAGTGCCGCCTCTGGCACGTGTGCCATAGGTTCGCCACCTCTGGCCTAGGACTAACTCCCTGCACTGCATGGTAGGACCGACTCTGGAAGAACAGTGCTTCAAGTTTTCCTTTTCTATTTTTTCCCACATACTTGGCTTCAAAGGCAGAATGTTTGTTCAGTACAGGTAGTCCTCAACTTACAACCACAACTGAGCCCAAAATTTCCACTGCTAAGCAAGGCAGTTGTTAACTGAGTTTTGCCCCATTTTACGACCTTTCTTGCCACAGTTGTTAAGTGAATCACTGCAGTTGATAAGTTAGTAACCTGGTTGTTAAGTGAATCTGGCTTCCCTATTGACTTTGCTTGTCAGAAAGTTGCAAAAAGTGATCACATGATCCTGGGACACTGCAACCCTCAGAAATACATGCCAGTTGCCAAGCGCCCAAATTTTGATCATGTGACCACGGGGATGTTGCAACTTTCATGTAAAAAAATTGTCATAAGTCACTTTTTTCAGTGCCGTTGTAATTTTGAACAGTCAGTCACTAAACAAATAGTGTTAAGTCAAGGACTACTTACTATATAACTGTGTTGCTCTGGGCAATTTTGAAAGGAAAAATGAAGTAACGATAACTCTTAGTCTTAGTGTTGATATATTCAAAACAGATTCTTACAGAGTTGAAATTTGGTACAGTATGTTGTAGCTCAGGGGCATCAAGCTACATTGCATAATGTGCAGCAAGACTTGGCCATTTTTCTTCTGTATTTTGCTTTGACATATTCCATGATAACACAGTTCAGCATAATCATTTTGACATTTTGTGGTGATATGTTCTTTTAGAATGTTATGACTCATTATGAACAGGGTCTCGTATGTTTTAAGTAGGAACACAAAAATGGTTTTTGTTAATTTTTGTTATTTTTTTCTAATTATTGCATACATTTAACCAGAAGTCACACAAGAATAAAGATACAAAAAGCAGGATAAAAAAATAAAGCTTAAGAAAAAATAATATAAAGAGAAATAATACATTATTTCTTTTGCATCCCTTCCATTTTCCCCAAGTACTGTTACTTAAACACTGGCTTTAATATTAAACACTGAAGATTATTGCTTATATCTATTTAAATTCCTTCAGTTATTTTTAGCTAGTCTCTTAACTCTTTTCTTAACAAACATATTCCCAACATCTAAATTTGCCTTGTTGTGTAATGTATCAAATATAATGGAGCAATTCTTCCTTAAATTTGATTAAACTTTTGTTATGATTATATGTAGCCAATTTTGCTGCCTATTCTCAAATTGTGGTCTCCCACTCTTGTATTGTTGGCAGTTTTCCTTTTCCAATATGCATCAGATTTGTTCATGCCTCTGTCAGCATGTACCCTAGTATACATTGTAATACTTTTGGTTTATGCTGCCTAGAATTATTCCTAATAAAAATATTTGTGGTTTGAATTTAGATTTTATTTTTTAAAAATCTGAATGTTTCAGTGTAGTTCCTTCCAATAATTCTGAGGTATTTTCATACTACTATTAGATGTGACAAAATGTTCCTTGTTAATTTGCAGTTTCCAACATTTATTATTCTATAATGTGTACATCTTGGTAATCATTGATGGAATTATATATCATCTGTACAACATTTTGATCCAATTTTCCCCTCAAATTATAGTTTGGAGTAAATTTTATAGATTTTTCCCATAGTTTTTCCCATTGTTCCACCGTAATTGTTTTTTTGAGTTTTTACATCCATTTTATCATATTATCAGTTATTAATTTGTTCTATCTATCCCAATACATGACCTTGATTCTATATGTTTCAAATTATGTCATCTTTTTCAAGGTCCCTCCTTTTTTCTTAAGGTCGCTTTTTTACACTTCCAGCAATTTCTAAGAGAATTGCATCTTTCCTTATATGGGTCATCTGATACCTAAGCGAAGAGGAGTGAGGGGTCTTTCAGATAGCCAGATTCAAGGCCTATCCTCAGATTTTTGAACCAACAGAAAAATATGCTGCCATCGACTGTACTGACCTCACTCCCAGTCTCTAATCTGGAAAAGAGTACTACTCTTATTGCAGGCCAAATTATGGACCTGCTGGCTCCCTGACTTTGTTTCTCCTCCTATCTGGTATTAGAAAAAAAATAATTTTCCTAATGTAGAGTTAGCTTGGTTGGACAAGTGTAGGTGGTGATTTAAAATGGCATGTTTAGCCACCCTATCAAATTGTCTAATTAACAGATTGCAGCTACAGAGGGTAGCATGAGTGAAACATACCCTATGGTGCAATT